CAGTAACGTCCCAGATGACCTCACCAGAAAATATCTCTCAGGACCTGAATTTCCTACTATGAAGGCAACTATTGTGTCTATAAAAGGATACTGACATTGTTTTTGAGGATGAGGTAGAATCTTGGAAAGCCAGTGTGGGGAGGGTAGAGAGATGAGAGATGCTCATTCTATTTCAGCCTGCTTAGACCGACCCTGCTGTGCAGCCCTTTCTATTCTTGTTTCTAACTTCTGGACTGGGACACTGTTTTCTCCACATGTTCCATAGGCCATGTTCTCCTCAGTATACACCAGTGTTCTCACTTGGGGGCATATGCTGTGCTTTGATTTATTCTTATGCTTATGACAGACTAGAAGAGAGTTTCTCTTAGTAAATCCTGGATTTCTGCATTACTTGTAAATAATGTAGTCCTTTAATTATTGGTCCCTTAATTGGACCATAATAAAATGGACCCTAAATTATATTTAGGAATCTTCTAAATGTCTCTCTTCAAATGTTCATTTACCCTCAGTGGAAGTATTTCTAGTGATTTTTTATCTTCCTTTTAACATTTAAAAATTCATTTAACCAATCTCCATTTTCTAAACATTGCATTGTAAATCAAGTGGAAAACTTATGTTCTACAGGGTTTGGTGTGTAAAAGCTATTATTGTTTGAAATTATATCGTTGAAAGATATAAATGATAATATGGTCATGGGCAGTTTTTCAGACACTAGTATTGTATAGTCAGTGGTACACTCCATATGATTAAGTGTTGCTTATTTCAATTAACCATACCTATGAGGTTGTTATAGTTTTTCATGCTAACATTTTATGAGTCATCTTAAATTATTGACTGTAATTGTGGTATTAACAAGTAGTTATTATTGATTATTATGTAGAATTAGACATCTATATAATTTTTTGTTGTTGATGAGGTCTCTAAAATCTGACACTCATAGTATGAGTTACTGCCTCTTAATAATATGTCTAATTCTTAAGAATGAAATATAAACAGCTTAAACTTAGGAATCATAAATATAAATAGCACTCCTGAGCATATGCTATAAAATTGAAATCATTATTCAGGTAAGTTGGAGATATCTATTCCTGAACAAGACACCAAAACTACTTGCTTCTGAATAAAGTCAGAAAAATAGCTAATGTTTTCTTCATTTACAGGTATATTTCTCATATTTCAGTAAGGTCACATGAAGTATTGTTTGAATGATATTTTAGTTAGTTCACTTTTTTGAGGAAGGTTAAGTAGCAGATTATCAAAGGAATTCCCATTTAGAATCTATAAAAAAACATCTTGAATATTTAATTTAATTCATACTGTGTTGTTAAATTACTACTTGGATTTATTAAGCAGTGAATAGATCTCATAGGAATACCATTTATGCACAGCCTGCTGCTAAGAATCAAAAGTCATTTTTTGGTAACTATGTAATGCACAGTAAAAAGATTTGACTAGGCATTGAAATGGAAACAATAGCAGAACTTAAACTTGCATAGCTGAACATACGTTGTGTTTTCTGAGAAGAAGCAAGTGATTTTGAGAGGATGGCATTTTGTAAAATCTTAATTTCAGTTGGCAGGGAAAAACCAATGGGTATGTTGGCTACCTGCAGTCAAGAAGAGGAAAAGATCCATGAGTCAAAAAACCAGCAAGAAACACCATCAGAATCTGAGGCCAGGGGGCCCTTACTTTTTCCAGCTGCAAGTAAGCAACAACTTTTTTCCCTTCTTTTGGTTTGTCTGCACTGCTTCTTTGTGACCACCTCAGGAAGTACACCAAATGATTTTCATAATATAGGTCACATTACACCATGTGAACTTGCTTTTAAGCTGTTAATATGCTTTTTTATGCTTTGGTTTTATATTACAAAGAATACATGTATTTTAAAATGTTTTTTTTCTTTATCTTGAATTCAGTGTTCACTCCAGAATACTGACTTGAAAAGAACAAAGTATTAAGTTATGATATATTGGACTATCACCTAGAAAATATTTTATGATTATATTTTGTGAATTAGAGCAAATTCTTACAAAAGTCTAAACAACAACAAAAATCTCTGTTTTCTGATACAGAAACTGAGGCATGAGTAAAGTGCTATAGGCCTCAGAGGTTTGAATTTTTAGTTTCTCTTTCTTTAATCTGATCATTTTCTTGCTCTTAAGTATATTCCTTCTGTCTGACTGCAAGTATAATGAATGATAACTGATAAAGTCTGTGCATCAGAATCTAGTCATCTTTGGGTGAAATAAGAGAGTAGACCACTGTCTGAACCATTTAAAAAAAGCCCATCTTGAGAGACATTAAAAAAAGCCCAATTTGAGAGATAAATTATGTTCCTTTGTAAAAATTGCTTTTTGAAAATTAGTTATTGGGTGTGCTCTCTTTTCTTTCAGACAGTAACAGAAAATAGATGTCTCTTGCTGATACCCTATGATACTGTCACATCAACCAGAGGGAAGAGAAATTAGCCTTTTGATTGTTGCTGCATTGGACTAGGCCTGGTTTTATGTTTCATATGTTTTATATTCATATTTCATATATGTCATGTTACGAATCCATGGAGCAGGGTGACAAATTGCAGTGCATGAGAAACATGTGCTTAGGTAAAATTTTTCACAGAAGGAGAATTCAATCTTTTGTGAGGAATTATCTGGAATGGCCATTTCAACTAACTTTTTACTTGATTGAATATAGTAGCATGCTAGCTGAAATCTCTAGAAATAGATACTTTTTATGAGCAGCAAAATGCTTAAGAGAAAATCTTCTATACATTTTATGAATATTTGTGTGTTCTGGTTGAAAACATTTAAAAAAATGTTTCCATTGTTTAACTGTTTTTTAAGTTTAAGGTGTACTGTATGTTGATTTGATACATTTATATTTTGCAATATGATTGCCATTGTTTGTGTTAGCTAGCACCTGTATCATGTCACGTAATTATCATTTCTTTTTTGTAATGAAAATAATTAAGATCTAGTCTCTTAGCAAGTGTGATGTTTATGATACAATATTGTTATCTGTAATCTATACTGTACATTAGATCTCCATGTTTTATTTATCTACTAGTTGCAGGTTTGTACTCTTAACATCTCTACTATTCATTCCCACCTCCCATCCCCCACCCCTCAAGCCACTGTTAACCACCATTTCACTTTCTGTTTTTATGAATTCAGCTTATTTAAAGATTCCACATATAAATAAAATCAGACAGCGTTTGTCTTTGTCTGACTTGTCTGACTTAGCATACTGTCCTCTAGTTTCATCCATGCTGTTGCAAATGGTGGGATTTCCTTCTTCCTCACGGCTAAATAGTACTCCATTGTATATCACATCTTCTCTATCCATTCATCTGTTGACAGGCTCTTAGGTTGTTTCCATATTTTGGCTATTGTGAATAATGCTGTGATAAACATCAGACTACATTATTTATTAAGCAGTGAATAGATCTCATAGGAATACCATTTATGCACAGCCTGCTGCTAAGAATCAAAAGTCATTTTTTGGTAACTATGTAATGCACAGTAAAAAGATTTGACTAGGCATTGAAATGGAAACAGTAGCAGAACTTAAACTTGCATAGCTGAACATACGTTGTGTTTTCTGAGAAGAAGCAAGTGATTTTGAGAGGATGGCATTTTGTAAAATCTTAATTTCAGTTGGCAGGGAAAAACCAATGGGTATGTTGGCTACCTGCAGTCAAGAAGAGGAAAAGATCCATGAGTCAAAAAACCAGCAAGAAACACCATCAGAATCTGAGGCCAGGGGGCCCTTACTTTTTCCAGCTGCAAGTAAGCAACAACTTTTTTCCCTTCTTTTGGTTTGTCTGCACTGCTTCTTTGTGACCACCTCAGGAAGCACACCAAATGATTTTCATAATATAGGTCACATTACACCATGTGAACTTGCTTTTAAGCTGTTAATATGCTTTTTTATGCTTTGGTTTTATATTACAAAGAATACATGTATTTTAAAATGTTTTTTTTCTTTATCTTGAATTCAGTGTTCACTCCAGAATACTGACTTGAAAAGAACAAAGTATTAAGTTATGATATATTGGACTATCACCTAGAAAATATTTTATGATTATATTTTGTGAATTAGAGCAAATTCTTACAAAAGTCTAAACAACAACAAAAATCTCTGTTTTCTGATACAGAAACTGAGGCATGAGTAAAGTGCTATAGGCCTCAGAGGTTTGAATTTTTAGTTTCTCTTTCTTTAATCTGATCATTTTCTTGCTCTTAAGTATATTCCTTCTGTCTGACTGCAAGTATAATGAATGATAACTGATAAAGTCTGTGCATCAGAATCTAGTCATCTTTGGGTGAAATAAGAGAGTAGACCACTGTCTGAACCATTTAAAAAAAGCCCATCTTGAGAGACATTAAAAAAAGCCCAATTTGAGAGATAAATTATGTTCCTTTGTAAAAATTGCTTTTTGAAAATTAGTTATTGGGTGTGCTCTCTTTTCTTTCAGACAGTAACAGAAAATAGATGTCTCTTGCTGATACCCTATGATACTGTCACATCAACCAGAGGGAAGAGAAATTAGCCTTTTGATTGTTGCTGCATTGGACTAGGCCTGGTTTTATGTTTCATATGTTTTATATTCATATTTCATATATGTCATGTTACGAATCCATGGAGCAGGGTGACAAATTGCAGTGCATGAGAAACATGTGCTTAGGTAAAATTTTTCACAGAAGGAGAATTCAATCTTTTGTGAGGAATTATCTGGAATGGCCATTTCAACTAACTTTTTACTTGATTGAATATAGTAGCATGCTAGCTGAAATCTCTAGAAATAGATACTTTTTATGAGCAGCAAAATGCTTAAGAGAAAATCTTCTATACATTTTATGAATATTTGTGTGTTCTGGTTGAAAACATTTTAAAAAATGTTTCCATTGTTTAACTGTTTTTTAAGTTTAAGGTGTACTGTATGTTGATTTGATACATTTATATTTTGCAATATGATTGCCATTGTTTGTGTTAGCTAGCACCTGTATCATGTCACGTAATTATCATTTCTTTTTTGTAACGAAAATAATTAAGATCTAGTCTCTTAGCAAGTGTGATGTTTATGATACAATATTGTTATCTGTAATCTATACTGTACATTAGATCTCCATGTTTTATTTATCTACTAGTTGCAGGTTTGTACTCTTAACATCTCTACTATTCATTCCCACCTCCCATCCCCCACCCCTCAAGCCACTGTTAACCACCATTTCACTTTCTGTTTTTATGAATTCAGCTTATTTAAAGATTCCACATATAAATAAAATCAGACAGCGTTTGTCTTTGTCTGACTTGTCTGACTTAGCATACTGTCCTCTAGTTTCATCCATGTTGTTGCAAATGGTGGGATTTCCTTCTTCCTCACGGCTAAATAGTACTCCATTGTATATCACATCTTCTCTATCCATTCATCTGTTGACAGGCTCTTAGGTTGTTTCCATATTTTGGCTATTGTGAATAATGCTGTGATAAACATCAGACTACATACATCCCTTCAGTATCCTGTTTTCATTTCCTTTGGGTATATACCCAGAAGTGAGAATTGCTGGACCTTATGATAATCATGTTTATAATCTTTTGAGAAACTAGTGTATTGTTTTCCACAGTAGCTAAACCAATTTACATTTCCACCAACAGTGAACAAGAGTCCCCTTTTCTCCACATCCTTGCCAACACTTATCGCTTGTCTTCTTGATGACAACCATTCTCACAGGTGTGAGGTGAAACTCATTGGTTTTGATTTGCCGGAAGATTAATGATATTGATCATCTTTTCATGTACATGTTGGCCATTTGGATGTCTTCTTTGGGGAAATGTCTATTTAATTCTTCTTTCCACTTTTAAATTGGATTATTTTTATTGTTTGTTATTGAAGTATGTGAGTTCTTCATGTCTTTTGGATAACTACCTCTTATCTGCTATCACTGTTAAATTTTTAAGGATCAGAAGGTATAAGTTTTAGGTTGATGCAGGAACACCAAGTAATTTTTTTAAATGATAAAATTAGTCTCCCTGATAAAATTTCAAATAATTCTTTCATTTAGTAAATCATCAGTTATGCACTGTGTGCCTACTGAATGTCAGATGTGAGGAAATACAGTAGTGGGCAAAACAGACTTGGTCTCTGCTTTCTTGAAGTTTATGGTCTAGTGAGCCAGATAAATATAAAAATATAAGGTTAAAAACTGATAAATGAAATAAAGGAAACATCCAAAGCATGCTAGACACAAAATACAATTTAAATCATTTATTTATTGTGGAAAATCCTAAAAGTTCTCTGTTGTAGTTAATGGCAATGTGGTAGAAATGGAGAATGGATCAAACACTGAGAAAAGGGGGAAAGAGCTTAATTTATTAAAAGCTATTTAAAACATTAAATAAGCTATTTAAAACTTTGGATTTGGACATGAAATCCTGGGAATTCAGATGATAAAACTTCCCTAATATAAATGCCATCTACAAAATGCCCATGATTTTTAAAAATTTTGCCTTTTCTGATTGCAGTCAAAATAGTTTTTATAAGCACCCGTGACTCTAGGTAGAAAAAAAATGCCTTCGCAGATGCATACTACCTAGAAGATTCTTATTCATTACTGAGTAATTAGATCATGACTCTTTGTAGTTATCTTCCTTCTACTTCTGTCCAACGTTGATAGTAGTTAAAAGTTGTTTCTTGCAAAAAT